TAAAGGACCGACGAAGACTGGACCGTGTGTTCTTTTAAATAAAAAGACCGGCAAATACTGGACCATGTATTCTATTAAATAAGTAGACCAAAAAAGACTGGACCATTCATTATTTTTAAATAAAAAGACCGACTAAAACCGGACCACGGTCCAGTCTGGTCCGGTCCGGACCATGCAGAGCTCTAGTGCGCACACAGTATATAATAATAATACAACTAACCAAATATAATTGCCTGACTAGTCCAGGGAGCAACGATGATACCACTAACCACTATATTCCTAACGGGGAACAATATAATAAAAGAAAACCTAACCAGGGAAGGAGAAAAGAACTCTGATACAGTCTATGCCTTTACTGGGGTCACGACTGTATCAGGTACGACCATATTATGGGGACTTGATATGGAAGGGAGAAAGGGTCTCTGAGACAGTCTATGCCTTTACTGGGGTCACGACTGTCACAGGTACGACCATACTATGGGGCCTTAGCATGGAAGGGAGAAGACAAAAAAAAATAAAAATAAAACTATTGTGTACAGGCAAGATAACACGGACCTTGCACTGCTTAGGTTACTCTGGACATTTTAATTTTACACGCATGGCAAGCCATGGTGGGACCTAACATTATGAAGGGGGGCTAACGAGAATGTTCCTGCATGTTGTGGTGAAAGAGCGGTCAAGAGGCGGGGTCTGGTGGCTCCTTTACCCCCTTGCGGGAAGTCACCCTCCAGACCATCGAGCCGCGTGTCAGTGGTGGTAAGTGTGGTTCGGGGCCCCCTACTTAAACACTCACAGGGACAGCTGGTTTTTACGCCAGACGTATGTGAACGCGTAGGAGACTGACCGCTAGGCCCCAATGGCAACCACACTCGGCCGATCAAGCCCGGACCCTCACTGGGACGGAGCGTCACCACAACACCGGTTAAATTAAAAGAAGAGTGTCTCAGACTCTTTGCCGGACAGAGAGTAGTATCAGTACTCCCTGTACGACGGGGGCCCTACCGAGCTGGGGGGACAACGAATTCGAAAGGAGGTATAAGAGAGACAGAAAAAGGTGGGGTGTTAAGGGGGGGACAACGCGGAGAGTTACGAATTAAATGACCCGGGATTGATTGTTTCCACAATCACGTTCGCAGCACATTTGTGTGCTTAGCACGACGCACACATAGTATCGGTGTCGATACCGACAGTACGTACTGGGTAACCCCCCATTTAGATGGATTACGGCAGCCACAAGTTGGATCACCAATTTCGTATACAATTTGAGATAATTATAAAAAAAACATTACTTTGGTAAAATCATTCATTTTGAGCAGTTTAAATTACTGGGGGTATGTATGGTTTAAGTTGATTGACATTGTATGTACCATGGGGCGTATCATCATCTGGGTTAACTAATTCATAGGCGTTGACATTTTTGATATTTTTTACTTTAAAGGGACCATCGTATAATAAGAAAAATTTAGAAATTTTTTTGTCGATTTTATTACTGAGTTTATGTGTTCGGACTAAGACTAGATCATTTACTTTGAAAAAGGTGGGGTTGAGACGTTCTTGGTGATATTTTTTACGGTATTCGGATTTTGAGAGACTTCTTGTGCTAATATTTATTTATTTATTTATTATTTATTTATTATTCGTTATACGGGCTTAGCCCTTTTTGACATTACAATAAATCTTATATCGTGTTAGACATTTTACAAAAGACAAAAAACTAATAAAATATATACAGCTTACATTAATATTAAATATAATTATCTGATGACAATAAAAACTTAAACATTAAACAAAAACAAAAAAAAAAAAACTTTAGCTTAAATTTGTATATCTATTAAAAATTTAGCAATTTGTCGAATGATGGTTCTGCATTGGCAGACGACATTAGGCGTCTTAAAGGTGCATTAGTCATATAGTTAGTGGTGGCGTGTGGGACATAGAAGAGGGCCTTTGAGCGGGATAGACGTAATGGGACTTTAATGGAGATTTGCGAGAGAAGGACTGGAGAATCTATATCTTAACTGTTTGTTGAAATCTACAGGATAATTTTCATGAGGGAATTGTATAAATTGAGTGATGGGATTGTGTTGATGACTTTGAAGAAAGAGGGCAGAGGGGGTGTGATGCGTTGATTCGTGGCGAATTTTATTTAATGTCCACTCTATGTAAGCTACATATTGGGGCCAGAGGGAATGTTGTTTGTGGCAGTATGTGCGGAACATTCGACCAAGTTCTCGCATGACACGCTCTGCTGGGTTTGATTGGGGATGGTATATACTGGTATGGGACACTTTACGTTATATTTTTTAAGGGAAGTTTGCCAATATTTGCTGATGAATCGCCTACCGTGATCGGATACTATATTTTTTGGGATACCGTAATTGGGGAAATAATCCGTGGTTAATTTTTTAATACATGTTTTTGCGTTGGCGCATCGGAGGGGGTATAATTTTACAAAACGGGTGAAGTTATCTACAATGACGAATATATAGGAAAATTGAAAAATACCGGTAGGGAGGGGACCATAAAAATCGACTAATAATTTATCAAGGGGCTTATTTGAGAGAATGGGTTGTAGCGGACCGGCAATGCGAGTGGTCTTCGGCTTGCACTTCTGACACAACTCACATGCCTGTACGATACAACGGACGGTTTTATTAAATGAGGGGAAATAACAAATATTTTTTAACGTATGAGCAGTTTTAAGGAGACCAGTATGGGCATAATAATAATGGAATAATAATACAACTTGTTTGACCAAATGATCAGGAATATAAAGGGACCAATGGGTGTTAGTTTTGGTTGTTCGAATAAATAAGGTGTCTTTTTTCAAGGTATAATATTGTTTCCAGACTGGTGGGTGGTTCGCTTTTAATTTAATAATAATATTTTTTAACCGGGGGTCTTTTTGTTGTTCAGATGAGATATTGTTAAATATTGAGATAATGTCGGGAGGAATAGGTGGGGGTAGTGTATAATGTAGAATGCTGGGGGAGTCTTTGGGGGGTTGATCGTCGCGACCGAGGGGGTGTCTTGACAGGGTATCTATGGGATTGTCTTTCCCAGGACAGTGAATAATTTTAAGGTCAAACTCTTGGAGTGCAAGAGTCCAACGGGTGAGACTGGAGTTTTTTAATTTACAAGAGAAGAGAAATGTTAAAGCTTTGTGGTCAATATATAAATTAGTTGGGTGGCCGAGAATGTAAATTTTAAATTTCTGACAGGCAAACAGAATACCAAGCAGCTCCAGTTCAGTCACTGTGTAGTTCCTTTCGGCACCACACAGTGACCTACTTGCAAACGACAGGGTATTACGTTGGCCCGCAGCGTCAATTTGGAAGAGTTCTGCTCCAAGTCCTATGTACGAGGCATCGGTTTGGATACAGAAGGGAATATTAAAATTGGGGTGTGTTAATGATATTTGAAGGGAGAAGGCAGTTTTTATTTTTTGGAAGTCTATTTTATTTTGTTCGGTGAATATCCAGGGGGTGTCTTTAAAAATGAAATGGGAAAGGGGGTGTAATAGAGAAGCATGATTTTGGGAAAATTTACGGTAGAAATTACAAAAGCCGAAAAATGATTGGAGATCTTTTTTATTGCGGGGTTCGGGAAAATTTTGAAGGGCGTTGACTTTATCGGGGTCCATGATCATACCGGTAGGGGATATAAAGTGACCGAGGAATTTAATTTGTTTTTTATGGAAGTGACATTTTTTAAATTTTAGGGTGAGGCCTGCTTGAGAGATTTTATGAAAAATCCACTCTAGAGTCTCAAGGTGAGTTTCGAAAGAAGGGGGAGATAATAATATGTCGTCGACGTAGGTATGAATGTCATTAGGGGAGGGACAGGGGATAGTATAATTATTGAGGGCGGCTTCTAATCCTTTCCCAAAGGCTGCATTGGAAATGTTTAACCCAAAAGGAACTACACAAAATTGGTAGGACCTTCCGTCGTAGAGGAAACTGGTGTACTGACGAACCGAGGGATCGAGTGGGATTTGCCAATAGCCAGAGGAAAAGTCAAGAGAGGAGAAAAAAGATTTGTTATTAAATTTTGCTAGGATATCATCGATAGGGGGGGAGGCGTCTCGAGTGGGAAGAATAATAGTATTTAATTTGCGAGCGTCCAAACATAAACGTAGTGTTCCGTCAGCCTTTATTACAGTAACAAGGGGATTATTGTACGGTGAATCCGATCGTTCGATCTCCCCCACTTAATCATCTTGTCAATTTCTTTTTGTACGGCGGGACGACGAGAGAAGGGTACAGGGTATGGTTTAATTTTATAGGGGTCATGAGGTTTGATATTAAATTTGTAAGAGAGAAAAGTGTGAAGGCCGGGTTTGTCTTTAAAAATGTGATCATATGTTTGAAGGATGGAGGTCATTAATTGGTGTTGAGAATCATTAAGGGGAATGTCATTAAGGGCAATATTTTTTTCTGTTTCGAATGGGTAGGTTTGATTTATTAAGTGGGAAGGACGTTCGTACATGGTGAAAGGATCATTAGTGACAATAATATTTTTTAATGAATTAACCAAGCTATTTGGATCATTATCTTGAATTAATTTGAAGGGGATGTTATCTTTGATAGAGAGGAGGGAGATTTCCTTGCTATTGTAGTCTATGGTCACCCCGTTTTCAAGTAACCAGTCGGTACCTAGAATTAAGGGCGTGGACAATTGGGGAACAATTAAAAATATACCGTGTGTTTTATAATTTTGAACATGAAAATTTAAATAGATTTGGGATTTGATTTTAATTGTTTTGTGACTGAGTGCCGTGGTCAAGAGAATGCCTGTGAGGGGAAAGAGGGGAATTGTGTTTGGGTCAGAATTTTGATTTAATATTTTAAAAAGGTCTTCAGAGATAGCAGAGACAGTTGCGCCAGAATCTAATAGAGCATTATGAGATTTATTAAAGAGGATGATGGGAATTTCGGGACGGTAATTTGGAGGAGGTGTTTGTTCGAAATCGGGGGGAGAAGCTAGTGGGTGGGTGAGTATTAACAAATTATGAGGATTGATATTAGAGGGGGACACAGTGCACATCCTCGCGGCATGGTCAGACCTAGTTTTACCGGTGGAGGGGTAGTGGTAGGGGGAGTTGGGGCGGATTGATTACGAGAATTATATTGGGGGCGTTGATAGTTATTTTGACGAGGGGGATATCTATTTTGTTGATTGGGGCCAGAAGAATTGTTAAATGAATTTCGGTTTTGATTTTGATTTTGATAAGAGGGTGCATTTTGATTATTTTGATTTTGATAAGAGGGGGCATTTTGACTATTTTGGGCGTTTGTAGGGGAGTGAGCTTGCTGAATGTGGGAGAGTTGTTGAACGAGTTCATTGGTGGTGGTGATGCGGAGACCTCTGAGGACAATGGAAATATTAAAGGTGAAGTGGGAAGTGATCTGGTCAACCATTTCGGCCTGATCGATAGGTGGTTGCAAGAACCGGGCCTTGCTGATCCAATCCATCGCGTGCTTCTGCAGAGATCTTGAGTCTCTGTGGAAGTAGGGGCGATAGAGTTCGTTGCGGATAGCGCGCTGTTGATTGGGTGACCAGAACTGATTACGGATCAATACTAAGAAATCTTGATAATTTGTTGGGGGGGGAGTAGAGTGGTGTACCAGAGACGAGCACCTTCGACGAATTTAGACTTTATATAATTAATTTTGACATTATCGGGGACTGGGGGCTGGGTGAGAAAATATTGTTCAGCCTATTCAATGAACTCCTCAGGGTGAACTGGGATGAGTTGGCCATCATAGGGGGGGAGCTTTGCAGAATCTAGGCTAATGCCAGTGCTGTTGGAAAGGGTGGTACTATTTATTGTGGACGTGGTTTGACTAGGGAATGATATATTATAATTAGGGGCGGAAAAACTAGAAGTATTTGAGGGGATAGTGGATTGTGTTGGAATAGGATGAGCGACGGTAGTGGAAGTTAAGACACTATTAAAGGAAACTTGAGGCATTGATTGAGAACAGGTGGGGACTATTGGGGGGGGGGGGGAACTAGAGGGACATAATTTTGAAATTTATTTTCCAGAGCAGCTAGCCTGGCACTTTGACCTTCGACAAGGCTGATCCTATCTCCGAGGGCTCTGATGGTGTCACTAAGCGCGCGTTGGGAATTGGTTGCACATTTTTGGAATCCTTGGGTCCGCTGTTGTTGTTGGGAATTTTCGTTTTGTATGGCAATGAGGTCCTGATTAACGGAGGATTGAAACTTTGAGAACTTAACGTTGACCTCGGCGTCATTGTCATCGATTCTAATACATAGTTCATCCAGGCGAGCGTCGAGTTCACCGAACTTCCGGGAGACATTCTCTAGCTGAGAGTTGAACGCATCAGACATGTTGGATACTAACTGGGCTAACGACTCTAAAGAGAGGGGGGGTTTCCTACTAGGGATTGATTGGCATCTTCAGTACCTGACATGGTGATATAAAAATCAGTGGAACTTATTTGTTATCTTGTTTGTATAGAATGAGGATAATGATGATCTTTAAGTCTTATAATATAACTAGAAATTACAGTTTCAGTTAGGTGTAAGAAGGTGTAATTCCTATAGGTGTAAGAAAAATTGATTACCTCATGTGACATTATTAGAAATTAAAAAAATTCTCATCTTTTATAAAAAAATGTCTTTAATAATATTGTAATGAATATTATTTCCATTTGAGGGAAAAAATGAATTAAAGTAGGTATATTTAATATTATCATTGTTGTGCTCGATTCCATTTAATCATGTAAATCTGGTTCACATAATTTTTCATTTTTTTATTAGGTATTACAGGCTAAATATTAATGATTTCCCAAGTTTTTTTCATATTACCATTAACTTCATTAGTTTTAGAACTGTCTCCTTTTTTAATAATAAGATTAATAGTAGGTTTCTATAATTGTTATATTTACATTAGGTAAATAAAATAACTAAAACTGTTGTTTTTCGTTTAAATATCTAACTTTAAAGCTAAAAAAAAAATCTTACGTCTGCTATTTTAATATTTTTAAATAGCTATAACAATGCGTATTTACAAGGAACTTTTTTTTCAAGCCTTTTACTCAGCAAATATTTTTTTGTTACCATTTATATTGCTTTTATGTCTGTATTATAATATTCGATTATACATATGATTCCGTTTTCCATCACACCACCCCTTTGCACTGTCGCTATTTGGAACCAACTTGGAATCGCCTTTTAATATATGTTTCACACTATATTATACTTATTATTGCACTTTGGTGGTTTTTTGTACATAGGTAATTATTAAATTGTAATAATATAATTTGTTTAAGATATTATTAAGAGTACCACGTGAAGACTACGATGATATGCATATTATGATAGGTATATACAGGGTGATCCATTTATGTGGGTACACTAATTATCTCGAAAAGTATAAACTTTTTTTTATTTTTTATTTTTTTAAACTGTTAGATTTATGCTTTTCTAAAACTCTATACTATTTTAATTTTTTTCACCCTTATATTTATTGGTGAAACCACTATCAACTTTTGATTTTCAAATGGTAACATATAATAAAAAGATCATGAATTAATAAAACCATTTTTTTTATGAATTTTCGCGTTAACATTTTTATTATTTGTTAACTGGTTTGAGAGATACAGCTCTTCAAAGTATTGGAGGTTGAAGGTCGGTACCGCTGAAAATTTTCATTTGTAAAGCCCAGAAGCTATAACTGATAAATTCGATACCGTTCGACCTAACTACCTACGGTACCTAACATTAAACATATTGATAATTGTTGTACTTTGAACTTGATTAATTGAATGTACATTACACCTATATGCTAATTTGACCAATGCTACGTTTTGTTGACATTGTCTGTCGCACCAGATCCCCTCCATATTACCATAGAACAATAATAATTTTATTACTATTACCGATATTTGGCGATACCTTTATCATTATCTATGACCACGGTCTTATAAGATAATAGAATTGATTAAAATATTATATCATATTAATTAATTAATGATAATGGTACCGAAGAATCAATCGGTCCATCAATTAAATAATTATTTAATATTATGTTCTATTATTGTGTTTTTTTGAATACATTCCAAACCGAACTCACTTCCACACATTACAAGCTATAGCTTACAGGGGATTAACTAATTTAAAAAAATGTTTGTATATATATGTCATTGTTGGCTAATAATTATATTATTATTATTATTATTGTTACATTATAAATAGGTATATCATTCTAAATGTAAAATATTATGACCATTACTTATATTTTTTTATAAATAATAATATTAATTTAACTTTTTTTTCTTTCAATTTATGGTTTATGTATTCATTTTATATTAGCATTTTGGCTTATGTAATGGAATACTAAGATTTTCATCAATTTTACCTTTGCAAGAGACTATTCAAATTGCAGTTGGGATCGACGGGTTACCAATATCGAAAAGTAGTTCCAGTCAATTTTGGCCTATTTTGGCCTATATTATGCCCTGTCACAAATATGTTTTTCCTGTAGGAATATTTCATGGGAATAAAAAACCATCAGATAGTAATAACTATCTTTCTGATTTTATTGCTGAAGTGTTAGAATTAAGTAGAAGTGGATTAATGGTGATCAATCAGCTTAGAAAAATTGAAATTAAAATTATTTGTTGTGATTCTCCTGCTAAGGCCTATATATTAAGAATAAAAGGACATTCAGGTTACTTTTCTTGCACTAAATGTTTACGGTGAATATAGCATAAATCATGTCTGTTTTCCTTACAACGAAAATGGCAATGAAAAAAGAAATCATGAAGATTATGTTATGATGAAAAATGAGCAGTATCATGTTTCACCCACAATATCATGTCTTGCATTGACTACCAACATTAACATTGTTGATTTGTTTCCGTTGGATTATATGCACTTGGTGTGTCTAGGTGTCACAAAACGACTAATAACCTTATGGTTAAATAAAGGGCCATCTAATTTACCCTTGCCAAGTTGGAAATCAAAAAAAATTACAACCGATCTTTTAAAAATAAAAACATGTATCACAAATGACTTTGTTAGAAAACCCAGGGGACTTGAAGAAGTGGGACGATTCAAAGCAACAGAATTCAGACAATTTTTATTATACACTGGTCCTATAGTATTAAAAAATGTTATATCTAAAGACTGTTACCTCAATTTTATGACCCTCAGTATTGCAATGAGAATTTTATTGAGTTCAGATCACTGTAAATATTTGGAGTATGCTCATCAACTTCTTGATTATTTTGTAAAAACTTTCCAACAAATGTATGGTATTGAATTTATGTCACACAATGTTCATGGATTACTGCATTTAGCTGATGACTATAAGATGTATGGACCTCTAGATAGTTGCAGCTGTTTTTATTTTGAAAACTATATGAAGTATTTGAAACGGATGCTACGAAAACATGATAAGCCTTTACAACAGGTGGTTAAAAGATACAAAGAAATTTGTGATAATGAAAATATCACATATGACAATCATCACGATCAATTAAATTTTTCAACACACGAGCCAGATTGTTTTATTCTTACAACAGGAAGGGAAATAGTTAAAATAATTGATATATTATCGCACATTAATATAATTATTGGTAGGCATTTTTTATACAAAGAAAATTTGTTCATTAAACCCTTAAAGTCATCGAAGTTGGATATTTGGATTGTTAAAAGTCTCTCAGAAACGACAAAACAGTGGAAGATAACTGAAATAAAAAAAAAAGTTGTAATGATCAACTTTGATGATAATTGTATATTTATACCTATAATTAGATAAGTTATGATACATTTATTATGTAATTATGTAGATATCATATTTATATGTATAATATTTATTAAGTATTAGATTTAGTGCAGTAGAATGTGTAAAAAATAAAACAACAGGTATTTTAAATTTGTATAAACATAATGTAAATAGGTTCTATATTTTATCATGTATATATTGTATATGTATTGTTTGTTTTGAAGGATGTGGATAGTTGTACTATTTGAAGACGACAGCACATTAGCTGCTGTGCCTGCATTTTGGTATAAAGATGGCTTCTGTGCATGGCCCAACAGCAAAATTAGTAGAAATATAGAAAAAAAAATGTGCACCAAATGAGATAGAATTCTCCAGTTATAAGGCAAAAATATTATATGAGCATCATGGTTGCTAAGTATACAAAATAGTAAATAATAAGAATATTCATGTAAATATTAAAATATGAAATGTAACCATAATTACAATACCTATTTATGTTGCATTTAATATTTTTATTAAAAAAAGTATTATGTATTTAGGAAATTATTTAGAAGCTCGTACCTTGGCTCAGGACAATTCAGAGGCATCATCATGCGATAACTTATATGAGGATATGCGCTTAAAAAAGAAGAAAAACTCAAGATTTGTGTCGTCTAAAAACCAAACAAGGCTTCTTTCTCCACCACTAATTGATTCTGAAGGTAAAATATTCTAACATTAGTAAAAGTTTAGTGTATGTAATATGTATATTGTTTATCACTATTTTAATGTTAAATATATTTTTTATAGTTATTACAAGTACCTATATTTGGTATATCATTAAACAAGCAACACACAAAAATGTGGCAAAGTCACCAGAAATAAATTTAAAAATAAATAATATAATCTACGACTCCAGAACAAATGCATCCATAATTACGAATAAATTGAACGATTACTTTTTAACTATGGGAGATCTCAACGATAATATTTCTAATAAGAAAAATGAATATAATACCAATAACCCTTCATGTTGATTATATCTAAGAAAGATCACTAGAACTGAATTATATAAAATTATAACTGATATGAAAAACGATTCAGCTCCTGGTCCAGACACAATCTCAATTAATGTTATTAAAAATCTTAGACTTTATTTCTGACATTCTAGAAAAAAATTTCAACCAAATTTTAAAAGAAGGGATAATCCCAGATGCCTTAAAAAATGCATTAATATCTCCCATTTATAAAGGTAAAGGATCTAAAACCGACCTTATTAATTTTAGACCATTAAGTTTATTAAACGTATTTTCCAAAATATTTGAAAAAGCAATCAAAACTAGGCTCATAAATTGTTTAGAAGAAAACAATTTATTACCCAACTCACAATATGGTTTCAGAAAGGGATTAGGTACAGAAGACGCTCTGGCAAACTTAACAAAAGATATTTATGATAATTTAGATAACCATAATAAAACTATCGGTATATTTTTAGATCTTAGTAAAGCTTTTGATAGTATACCTCATCCAAAACTGCTAAATTGTATAAAATCGTTTGGTATTATTGGATCAGCATATTCAATTTTT